TGTACTGTTGCACTGAACCTGAAGCCTTGGGAGCTCCTTGGTGGATACATCAACAATTCAATGGGAGTCTTTATTACTCAGGAAAAGAATATGACCAAGGAAAGGGAGTGATAATCTCAAGAAAGTATCCTAAATTTTAAACTCCAGATACTAGGGTGCCCTAACTATATATCCCAAGAACAGTTTCTCCATAATCATACATGTATCTATTGCAATGGATGGATGAATGGAGGGATCGATGGAGAGGAGCAATAGGGCTAGGCAAAGAGACTGCAGAATCCATCTTTCTAAGATGCCAAACAACTCACAATGGCTGCAGACCAATTCAGGTCTGCAAAGTGGCCCAAGGTAAACCAGTCTGCCCTAAAGCATCCTAGAAAAAAATGGAAATAGGATTTACTAATTTACTTGCCCTCCACTGCAGTCTTCAAGAATACTTAGTGGGAAAAGCAGCAACCCCAGAGCAGAATTCCTGTCCTGCCGTATCTTTAGTAAAGGTTACTCTTTTTCTGATCTCTTTCTTTTTTCAAACCTTTTCTTCTGCTTCTTTATATTTTATTCTTTGCTGAAACTTAATAAAGTTTTTCTTGAAAAAAAAAGGTAAAAGTTAGTCATGCTCTAAAGAGGAACCCTTTTGCCCCAGGACAAGCTTAGCAGACTTGCTTCCCACAACCCCAATAACCTCAGAACTACTTTCAGATAGGCCCCCAAAATATTGTCATCCGTTACTTATCAGCCAATGTATTATTTCTTCCTTTTTTCCCTTTAACAATTTATCAGGAAAGGCTTGAAATAGAGGCACAATTCAACAAATGGTGTATTTTATAGCAGTTCCACTCTCATAGGATTTAGATGGAGTGATAGGAAAACTCATAAATCCATACTATATTGAATACTTGGATTATTTTACACTTTTGGAATGCTAATTAAATACTATTTTTAAAAAAGAGTACATAGACAGCGCATGGATAACCACCCACCCATGCCTGTGCCTATAGCCACTATTGTGTTCAAGGGAGATAGCTGGAATTAGCTGGAAGTATGTTGAGATCTTTTCTGATTGACCCACTGGGTAGTGGTTACGGCGGCTCTCTTGGCAAGTTAATCCCTAACAGGAGCAACTTCCATGGATGCTAAGTTGCTGTGCCTCAGCAGTAACACCACTACAGGAAAGGCAGTGCCATCATGTTGAAGAAGACCCGCATCTGGACATACAGCCAAGGATTAAATTCCCATGTCCCAGGACAGGTTCTTCCCAGGCAGAAGAGGTCTGGGGAAAGAGCCCTGCCCTGATCCCACCTGTCTTCTCTCTTGCAGTGCCTGCCAAGATACAGAAAGGCCCGGACAACTTAAAGGCCAAGAAAGGCAGCACAGTCAATTTGACAGCTCACATCAGTGGGGAGCCAGCCCCTGACGTCGGCTGGGCCAAGGATGGGGAGGATATTGAAGAGGATGATCGGTGAGTGAAGCCCACCCTGGGTATTAAGCAAGGATGGGTAGTCTCAGAATAGCCATAGAGTTAGGGCAAAGATATCATGAGAACCCCTGATGTTCCTTCCTCGATCACACAGGCCCCCACAGGTAATTTTCAAGCACAGAGAAAAAGCATGGAAGATGCCGTAGCTTGAATGTTTGTATTATAGTATAATACAATCCGATAATATAATTATTATTCCTGCTCCTTCTCCAGTACTTTCACTGGTGATTGTCAGGGTAAGAAGAGCTTATTCCTCTTTGAAAAGGATCCCTCACCTTGACAGGGCATGAAGTAGAAGGCAACCTAGTCTACCTAACTGGTGCTTCCCTAGGAGCCAGCAGCCTCATATGCTGCTGATAGAGAGAAGTCAGAAAGAAACTTCTACCCATTGTGGGGCTTAAGATGGGTCCCCAAGTTCTGATTCCCTTTCCTTCCTCTGCAGAATGTATTATAACATTGGCAGTGACTCAACAACTCTCACCATCAAGAAGGTGACACCAGCTGATGCTGGGAAGTATGAGGTCTTCGTGGAGAACAGCCTGGGCATGGACCAGTCCTTTGCACGCCTTGATGTGAACTGAGCTCCTGTCTTCCCGCAGTCTGATCCGCCCCCAAAGAAACTCTCCATCCCACGTTCCAGAATATTGTATTGCCTAACCAGGAACCTGGCTTGACAAAGGGAATGCAAATTAAAGGGAATGGTATTATCCAGCTTTCACAGCTGGGGAATGCAAATTAAAAACAAATGGGAGCAAGAGGGTTATTTTGTTCCCCTGCAATACCCCAGAGCCCAGCTACTTCTCTTACTGCTGCTTTGGCTCTCTTACTCACATAGTACAGCTTCAATGAGGGTACAACTTTTTCCCAACTTGCTGGCAAGAACAACTCCCCCATACTCTGCTCCAGGGCTCAACCCATTTCTTGGGCAGGCAGGGCTATCAGCTTACCAGTACCTTTGCCATAAATGCATCACAAGTCGTGGTCTCTGAAAAGCCATCTAGGTGGGGGCATCAGAGGGGCAGCACAGACATTACTCGCCAGTGGTCTTTCCCCAGTGCTGACAAGATAGTCAGCCATCCCAGAAGCCTCCAGATTCTTCTGGACCCATTTTTTTGCTCGATAAACTAAATAAAACGAAATGATTCTATATGGTCTTGTGAGGTTTTTTAAAAAAAATTATTATTAAACATTTACTCATGATCTTTGTCTCAGCCCATGCCTGATGGAACTGAAATTCATCCTTAGCTGTTCCAGTGCTGATGTAGCATTTTTCCTCTTTTCCTGACATAATTTTTGCCATGATCCAAACTGGCATGCTTCCTTGACCTTGGGATTGCAGATCCAGATAGCTAATAGCCTAACGGCTGGGGCTGGTATCCTATGTTGCACTGAGCTATGAAACGGTTTGATTTTGGCTTTATGTAATGTGTCAACCCACTGTGGTTTGAAAAACAGGGTTTTGTGACTTAGCATGTTGTAGGAACCAGACAATTAGGATTAATAGACTTATGCATCATGCATCATGGTTGACCTTATTCTGCAGCTGAGATTTCAACCTGTTTTGTGAATAAGCAACCCGAGCACTCATCAGAACACCTTGCAGTTCCTTCCGGTCCATATTCTGTGTTATGCAGTCTTTCCCAACCTGGTGCACTCTGCATATATGTGCTGGGGATGATGGGAGTTGCAGCCCTAGCATATCTAGAGGGCAAGAGCTGTGCATTACAGCATGTTCCTGAAGGCCAAAACCATTTGGAACTTCTCAATGAAGTTCTGGAGGCCAAGATTCTACCCTCTTTTTCTTGGCAAGGTTGCCTCCTGCCGGTGCTCAGAAACACTGCAGGATCCCTTTTTCAGTCCACTGCTCTGGAGATATAAATAGTTCTTCCTGACCATATTGGGGATTGTTTCAATCTTCCAACTTCTCCTCGTCATCCTGTCCATGTGACAGGCACAGAAGAGGGGAAGCGGAGTGGACAATCTCCATTCCTTCCACACTGTGTGGTGGGTGCTCCTTGACATAGCTTGTCTTCAGGAAGCACATACTTCCAGATGGACAGCTTCTTAATACCGCTAATTCAAAGACACAGCAAAGCCACTCCATCTTTCCCTACTTACAGTTTTTCCAGGGACAGAATCAAGAAGAAAATATCCTTACCAGTGGTGAACCTAATAATCTCTGGCCTCCCCCTGCCCTCAAAAATTTCTATTTTTGCAGAGTGGTAATTGCATAATAAAAGCCTCATCTGAAAACACCCAGCATCTCCCTCACATTCACAAAGCTTTACTGGACTCTTGGCGGAATGGGATTTAGTGTTCATGACACACTTCTAGATTGTGCCACTATCCAATGGATGATCTGTTACAGATCATGCCCCGCCAAGTCTTGAAGAGAAATCAGTCCTAAAGGCTTGATTTTTAAAGGTGTTTTAAAGATGACTTCAGCCCCAGCACCTAGGATTTATTTCTGGCATTTCAAGATGGGCAAAATGGCACATTTGTTCCTTGTCCTCTTGCAAGCTTTTTCTTCATTATTTTTGACATCACATGATCTGTCTTGCAGGACAGCCTAGATACATTCTAACATCTGTTCAAACCTATTCTTCTTTGGATGCGAAAACTTACAAACAGTTCATGAGATACTGTAGTAGGAAGCCTACTGAAACCCCAGTGTTCTACCACCACTCCAATCCTTTAAAGAATGGGAAAAACTGGGGATGAAGTGGGGTACCCCAAGAAAACAGAGTGCTGAAAATGTCCTTGGAATGCTGGTGGGCTGGTTGGGTGTGTGTGAAATGGAACAAGGGTCTGGCACGAAACACCCTAGAAAAAGGACACAGCTGGCTCCCACTCCGGACACTTTGTTGCAGACCGCTTTCCCCAAATCCCACACATGGTGGAGGTCAGCTCTCTGCAGCGCTAAACATGGCAAGGGAAAGCCATTTGCACATGCGATTCTCTTTCTGACTTCTGAAGGCTGAAAAGTCAAGCCAGGGGAATTTATTCTTCATTCTGCTCCCCAGCCAGGCATTAGAAATCAGCACGATCAGGAATCACGCCTCAACCTGACAGTACCACCTTTGCTCCATGCCAACCGATAAGTCCTCTAGAACGGGAATCGACAGCAGGTAGCACCACCTACCCTATCCGGGCTGAGCCCAAAATGTTCAGCAGGGTCATTCCTGACAAATACTTGGATGGGAGATCACCGGGAAGCCCCAAATTTACAGGCTAGATTAGAAATCGAACACAGGCAAAACCTAACCACTTCCATGTTCTTGTTGCTTCAGTCTCCGGGAGTCGAGGCCGAGGGAAACTACCTTTAAAGCCGAAAAAGAGGGAGAGCGGGAACGGAGCCAGTGCCCGCACTGCATTTTAGGCAAGCCGGAGTCGTGGCAGGTGCTTAGGGCTGAGTCCGCCGCGGTCCCGGAACTTCGCGGGGAGGTGGATGCAAAGGCGGGAGGCGGCGGCAGCGAGCAGGAAAAGACGCGGATGCTGTCAACTGCCCTTGCATTGCAGCTGGAGGATCCCGCCTCCGCCGTCCCGCGCCTCGGGCTTTAAGGCTGCCGATCTGCCTGGAGCCTGAGCTCGGATCCACGGGGAGGTGGAACCGGTGACGTGGCATTCTCACGTGCTCGGAAGCAGAAGGCCGCGTTGGAGCCGGGAGGAGGTTCCTCTGCGGGGTCTTTCGTGTTCTCGGGACAGCGCGGAGGGGCCCATCTGACGTAGTCTTCCCTGCCGTCCGTACACCAAGCGCGCGATGCTGAAAGCCGTGATCCTAATCGGGGGCCCTCAGAAAGGTGAGCTGATGCCCCTCGACAGCTCCCGGAAGCTGGTGCCCTTTCGGGCTGGAGGCGGCAGGGCAGCCGGGTGGGCTGTTCTTCGCTGAAATAAAAGCGAGTCCACGATGTGCCGATTTAGTGTGTTTCTTTAGCCGACAGCTTTTACATGTAAGAGTGTTCTTAACCCTTAGCTGGCCCCTGCCTCCCTGCCCCTCCCGCCCCTTGATTTTCCTCCTGCCCAGAGCAGCCGGGCCTCTTCTTCGGAAGGATCGCCCTTCAGACGGC